ATATATATATATAATCCTCATGGTCCAGGTCATTTTTGACCCATGAGCGTGAGCGTTAAGGAAAGCATGCTGGCGGGTTTGTAATTGCGTGTTTATATTGGCTGTTGTTTGAAATGTCTCTCAACGCTCATGTCAGACATGTTTCATAAAGCACCGCTGCTAAAACCTGCATTATTATTGCTAAGGGTCATATTTACACCGTCTCTGATTAACTCAGACCATTTACTCTGTTTGAAACTAGTCTGCGCTGATTAAACAGCGAAAAACACAAATTGATAAAGTAATTACAATTATTTCTTTTGATTTGGATGCATACCAACATAATTAATGGGTCATTACACCATGCATGCTTTTATTTGAAAGACCTGTGATGCATTTATTATTTAGTGGATGGTTTTTAATCAAAGTCTTCATGTGCACTAATTTCCCCTGGAGCATCTGGGGTGAATTGTTCGGCTCAGTGGCTCATGGGTAATTGATCTCAATAACTCGCTAGGTCCTGTGAAGCCCCAAATGTGAGATTGAGATTTCCATCACAGATGCATTTTAAGCTGAAATGTGTGGCACCGAATAGAATTGCAAAAATAATGATTGTCTCCGAACAGGTTTCCAGCATTCAAAAGTTTGGGTTTGGTAATTTTAGGCTGCATTTATTGGACTAAAAATACAGTAAAAACAGGAATATTGTGAACTATTATTACAATTTCAAATAGCTGTTTCTATGTGAATATATTGTAAAATGTAACTGATTTCTATGATCAAAGCTGAATTTTCAGCATCATTACTCCAGTCTTCAGTGTAACATGATCTTCAGAAATCATTCTAATATGCTGATTTGCTGTTCAGCATAATCCTGACATTTTATTTTTCAGGATTCACAGACGAATAGAAAGTTCAAAAGAACAGCATTTATTTGAAATAGAATCTTTTGTAACATTATAAATGTCTTTACTGGCACTCTCGATCAATATAATGGCTGAATAAAAGTACTAATATCTTACTGACTCCAAACTTTATATATCTGCCTGAGGTCTGAGGAGGCTTGTGTGGCCTTCAGCAGAAAGGAAAAGAGGAAAGCAGTTAAATAACAGCCATTCAGCTCTGTAATCCCACAAAGCTGCTCTCACGAATCCTCTCTGAACGAGTCGCTCTCATCAGTTCTCCCGGCGTAAAGCTAATCATTATCTCTGGCCAGCGTAGAGACCGTCCGGCGCAGTCTATCATCTCCGCTGGGTATTTTTATCTCACAAAGGGGCAGAAATCTAAAAATGACATCGGTTCCGACCCCAAAAGACACATCTTCATTTGGTTTTTGGAGAAACGGTGACACACACAAACAGATTATTGACAATAGTCCGAGCCGTCCGTCCGTCTGTCTAAACCGCAAACCAGCTGGGGATGAGACGGCCCTTCCACCGCTTTGTAGTGGCATATAAAGACATTCCAGCGTCATCTCCACCACAGACAGACGTCTAAAAATACTCATAAATCAAACGGACTTCAAAACAAACACAGGAGAGGAGAGATAATAAAGAGTTGCTGTGATGAGAAAGTATTTTTGCCCTGTGGAGCTTCTTTCTTCTTCTGCCAGTTATGCAGTTTGTTCATGTTTTGCCAACTGAGCTCCAGCGCACCAGCCGCTCTTTTCTATCTTATTTATTTACCATTTAATGCCAAATCAGCACTACAGTATACATATATATATATATATATATATATATATCTTCTCTCTTTTTTCTCTTACTGAAGTCAAACCATTCTGTTTTTGCTTCAAATTTCGAAATTATACAACCTAATTTAGATTAAAAACTGCTCATGTTGCATGTATGCAGCATCTTTGTTTGGATCATGATTAAAATGCAGTGGTTGCCTCTAATTTTACATGGAAAGAGCACAGACAAAGCCTTAGTTTGTTTATATGAAGAGATTTCTTTTATTTGTGTTACTTATTTATTTGATTTGGGGCTTGTTTTAACATTTCAATTTAATTTTGTCATTTACATTTACATTATATTTAAATTTAGTCACTTAGCAGATGCTTTTATCCAAAGCGACTTACAAATGAGGATAATCGAAGCAATCAAAACCAACAAATAATAAGCTTAATAAGCAAACAAATAATAAGCAAATAAAAAGAGTAATAATTTACAAGTGCTATATTAGTATATTATTATAGTGTTCGATTTCAATTTCACAAAGAAAGGTACAGTATTTTGTCCAAGCAATAATAAAATGACATTTAATTTATAATTTGTCTTAAATCTAATTTTGTTAAATAAATAAAAAATTCGTTAATCGAATCGAATCGTGGGTTGAGTGAATCGTTACATCCCTAGTGTTTATCATTATCATGGATGCATGTGCTTTATCTCAGTCCAGTGGTTGGAGTTGTGCTGTTTTGTTTTGTGCATGTGTTTGGATATCAGTATATTCATATGCAAATGTAGAGAATACATAGACTTCCGGGGCGTAATATTTACAACATGAACCATAGAGAACATCTGCTCAAGGGCTCAGACACGACGAGTGAGAGAAATTCTAGCTTTTGCAAATGGACGTCTGCTATATGAATTCAGGAGAAATCACTAGAAAGTCAAACGTCTACTGTTGTATTGTGGAATCCTTGCTGAATAAAAAATGAATTTCTTTATTTTACTGATCGCAAACTTTTGAATGGTACTGTAGCGATCGAAACGAGGGAGATGTGAAGTGGACTTAAAGAAATCCTTATAGATCCAAAAATGAATATTAAAGAAAGCTAAATAGCATCTGGAG